GCTCTCCTCTGACTTCACTCTGAGTTTGGATGTAGCAACATGAGAAGGTGGAAGTGGCAAAAGAAATGACATAAGGACACGGTGAGTATGAGACAAGAACATGAGCACAATGTTCAGCAAAGGGACCACCCTCAACATGACAAGCAGAACAGGGGTTAATGAGCACAAGAAGTCTATGGTGTTACCCATAAGTAGTGATTTGCTGGTTCGGCTCAGAGGCTGCAAGCCAGCCAAAGCCAGCCCTTGAAAGCCAGGCTGAGCCTGGGCCATGGGTACGGCTTTGGATGGCCCACAGCTCAGGCTTTGAAAATCTGAAGCCTGAGGCTGTCATCGTGAGGCCATCATATGTTTTTTATGTCAATTGCATCAACAACCCTCCAATTATATTCTCTAGTCTACAACTGAAATGTTTGTTGATGATCAGCAGTGCTACACACCTGTACAGAGATTCTAAAACCTCTGCAATATTACATCAGCTCATCCAAAACATAGATTTGCTTGCCTATAACCCTGCCCAACTCATTTCTGGTGACACGAGCATAGATATGACCTGATTATATGCATGCCCGGCGCCAAATTTGACTGTGCCACCCATCCTACAGCATATGACTGTAAGCCACAGCCCAAGCCAGAGCCAGGCCTAGGCCATGGGAGGCCATAGTGGACGGTTCAGGCTTCAAATATTGCAAGCCTGAGCCTCCCAAAGCTGGGCCTAAGCCACAGCTTTCAGGCTGAGCCAGGCTGGCAAACCACTATCCATAAGTACTTAAGTACCTGTCTTTATTATTTCATTCTGCATCCCTGCTGATCTAACCATCCTCCTACTACCACTCATCACCCTCACTTCACTTGCCCACTCTCTTACATGCTATTTTGTTATCAAGCATACCTTTTCCCCTACTCACCTACACAACATTAGCCCTACCATTGCAGACTGCAATGCCACATCATTTGCCAGTGTGCATCATTTCTGCAATGCAACAGGCTTATAGTGTACCTGTGCCACAGGTTTTTGAACCTGTAGACCCTTGCAAAACCTGTATATAATGGCCCACCATGGACAAAAATAGGGCTTACCATGTAAATACCACCCCCTGCAATGAATATGTCACCTGAAAGTCCCAGATCATTGACGTTCATTGACAATCATCAACTTTTGTCAATGTTTGTCAACAATCTCCAACTTTTGTTGATGTTCTTTGACTTTTGTCAAAGATTTCCACTGAAATATCCCAATCTTCAACATTTGGCACAGATCAATATGGTAGGTTTCTTCAACTTTCTGTTACCATTTTCACTGTGAGCCTCTCATTCTTTCTTTGACATCCAGCCAGAATCTTCAAGAATCTTTATATTTTTCTTCAGGAATGTGTTGGACCCCAGGACTTTGTGAGGGGCTTGGCACACTCAACTCATGTGCTGGGCCTACACTGGCTGCTCTGCTTGCATGCTGACTAACAGTCGGGCTGTGGGGACCCACCAATCTTAGTCAGTGGGGTAGAAATACCCCGCTGACTAAGATTGGCAGGGTCCCATGGTGCACTGACTAAGTTGTTGCTTCCGCCCTTCTCATCACTGTTGTGGACAGCAAGCTTGCTGTTCACACCATTTCTGGTCCATTTCCCTCCATTTTTTTTGCTAGTATCAATGTATGTAGTTATTAATGAAGTTATGTAACATATATACTGTTGTAAACCCCCATAAGCTGTATAAAATGTGAAAACAATAACATGAATAACAGTCCCTCATCCATACCCAGCCCTAGGCATATTCCCCAGCCCAGGAAGCATCTGGAGTATTTAATATAGACACATGTATGAGTGGGAAGGCCACCATCCAGGTTATGGGAGTGGCAGGATATACAGTATCATGGAGTAATGTACCTCTCCTCCTACCCCTCTTCCACACACCAATAATGCAACTATTACTATGGTTAGTAGCTCAATTTAATGGTACTACAATAGCGCATTTTTAAGGCCCTCTATTCGAGCCATTTGTGGTTTGAAGGGAGAGGGTATGACCCATGACCCTCAACAGTAGATGTTTTATTAAAGAATCATACATGCATTTATGGCCAATTTGACTTGGTAGATACTTAATAGTATTATGCTTTAGTATATATATGTATTTAAATATGGAGCGCCACACATGTGGGCAAAGATATGAGGAGGAGGAGCACATACCTCATTAGTCACCATGTCCTCCTGTCACAAATAGCACATATCACATGCTCTAGATAGACTCTACGGATGTGTAATATGTATACCTTGTATTTTAGTAGTCACAGTTAGGAGAATAGATGCTTGGGTGAGATGGTATTAAAGCAAGGAGGATATCTGCATAAAAAGCATGAAAATTGTCCACTGTCACATAAATACATCAAGTAAAAATAATATATATACCTAGGCATATACTCATACATTCTAAGAGCCAGCTGAAACAGAGTTTACAAAATTAGAGCAAGATTGAGGTGAGATATGGATGAGACAGTGAATTTTGAAGGGCAGAATCTTGGTCACTACATGTGACTTAATTTGCATCTTACTATCTACCCTTCTTTGGGAGTTCCTTTGCCATATCTCACCTCAATCTTGCTCTAATTTTGTAAACTCTGTTTCAGCTGGCTCTTAGAATGTATGAGTATATGCCTAGGTATATATATTATTTTTACTTGATGTATTTATGTGACAGTGGACGATTTTCATGCTTTTTATGCAGATATCCTCCTTGCTTTAATACCATCTCACCCAAGCATCTATTCTCTAACTGTGACTACTAAAATACAAGGTATACATATTACACATCCGTAGAGTCTACCTAGAGCATGTGATATGTGCTATTTGTGACAGGAGGACATGGTGACTAATGAGGTATGTGCTCCTCCTCCTCATATCTTTGCCCACATGTGTGGCGCTCCATATTTAAATACATATATATACTAAAGCATAATACTATTAAGTATCTACCAAGTCAAATTGGCCATAAATGCATGTATGATTCTTTAATAAAACATCTACTGTTGAGGGTCATGGGTCATACCCTCTCCCTTCAAACCACAAATGGCTCGAATAGAGGGCCTTAAAAATGCGCTATTGTAGTACCATTAAATTGAGCTACTAACCATAGTAATAGTTGCATTATTGGTGTGTGGAAGAGGGGTAGGAGGAGAGGTACATTAATCACCATGATACTGTATATCCTGCCACTCCCATAACCTGGATGGTGGCCTTCCCACTCATACATGTGTCTATATTAAATACTCCAGATGCTTCCTGGGCTGGGGAATATGCCTAGGGCTGGGTATGGATGAGGGACTGTTATTCATGTTATTGTTTTCACATTTTATACAGCTTATGGGGGTTTACAACAGTATATATGTTACATAACTTCATTAATAACTACATACATTGATACTAGCAAAAAAATGGAGGGAAATGGACCAGAAATGGTGTGAACAGCAAGCTTGCTGTCCACAACAGTGATGAGAAGGGCGGAAGCAACAACTTAGTCAGTGCACCATGGGACCCTGCCAATCTTAGTCAGCGGGGTATTTCTACCCCACTGACTAAGATTGGTGGGTCCCCACAGCCCGACTGTTAGTCAGCATGCAAGCAGAGCAGCCAGCATAGGCCTGGCATATGAAACCCACACATGGTGTGGTGTCATGGAGGCAGTTTGGGGTCTCAGAGATTCTTGAAGAAACTGAAAGAATAGGTCAGGCCATGTCAAGACAAATTCTCATTTGTTTTGGCCTCTGTCAATGGATCGGTGACGAATGGTGACATTCTGCAAGATGTCATTCTTTGATTATTGTTAACATCCTGCCAAAAAAGGTAACTTTCTGTGCTGATCGTTAAAGAACATCAACATTCTTTGATGATCATGACTGTCCCTTGGCTATCGTGACTATTCCCTGACTTTCTTCTGTGTTCTGCCACAATCGTCACTGAAATTCATTTACATTGTATTTTTGTCTAGCACGGACCACCATACATGTACCCTGACCTGTTGAAACCCTTATCCATTGACACAGGTACGGGTTTGCTGGGGTAAGGATATGGATAGTGTCTGGAGTACCCTGGGATTACCTGTGACAATCTCTAGGTAGAAACAAAGCATAGTGTTGGTCTGACAGCAGTCTGACTGGATGAGTGGTCACTGGTAGGCTATCTATCACATGTGGTCTCAGTCTAGTACATAGACACCCCTTTCTGCCATTCTCAAGGCCATCAACCACTATATATGGCATGCTCAACATGTCTGAAAACCATGGGTTGAAGGATGGGCAGAATAGGAGCAACCATAAAAGATTGTTAGAGGCTGTAGTGCTGTCTCGACCTTCCTACAGTTCTTGTGCCTCAAATTTTGTGGTTATGTAGTTGTTCTCAGTGTAATAATTATGTTCAGCAATACAAAAATTTTCCTTGTAACCCTCATCTATGCAAATGAGTCAAACTACATAAGTGACCTCTTGGACTTTGCAAAAAACCTCTTTGGGTGAGCCTTGGGCCACAGGTCACACTCTCAGATAAACCAGTTCACAAAATTCAGAGTGTTATGTCATCTGGTTCATCATGTGCAGAGGGCTAAAAGTCACCAACTGTAATCTAGATATCTCATGTCAGCAGACTGCCCAACCCAACTCACCATTGATTACTTTGTGAAAAGCCCAACTCATCCAGCCCTAAGAGAGACCTTCTTCACTTTGTTCAGCAAGGCAATGAGAAACATCAATTAGACAGCTATTAATGAGGAGCAAAGGTTGAAAGAGTAAAATTTTATTTTAGTTGTATGTATAACCAATTCCACAGTCCAGACAACATAGAAACAACCCACTACCATTCCGAGAGGTCAAAAGCAGCATTGATGAAAGCCTCAATCTCTTTCTTGTGTTGGAGCTACATACAATCACATCAGAACTCCAAACATAATCCATAACACACCGAGAGACTTACCTTGCTTCCAGTCGCAACCGAGCTCGTAGGTTCACGGCCAGCATAGAACGGGTATTTGCCTCTATGGTGCTCAGTCTTGCTCGCCGCGGTGTAGATGCGCGGGCCGACGTAGCTCCAGGCGCCGTTGTTCAGCGGCTCCTCCTGGCACCACAATAAGCTCGCGTTGGGGTATTTATCGAGATGGGGTGTGATCAGGTCGTAGGGGAACGGCGAAATCTGCTCGATGCGACTGATGGCGATGTCTTTGATGCCGCGCTCTTCACGAGCTTGGGTGAGGGCGAAGTAGACCTGGCCTGTCGACGATGAATGAGCGTCTCGAACCGCAACGGCGACGGAGAGGAAACAGCCTACCAGTACAAAGAATATGGCGTTTGATCTCCTCGGGAGCGACGAGCGCCGACGAATCGTGCGGTTCGGGAAGGTAGCGCTGGAACTGAGTGTCGCCGACCATCTCCTCGAGGTCCGAACGCGCACGAGGATGGCGGAGGAGGCTCTTCGAGAAGAAGAGGATGAGCTAGAGGCGAGGACGTTAGTGACACGTCAACAACCGGCAGCGAGAACGACATACAGGTTTACGGAAATCGCGGTGGATCTGGCGACGCAAGACATGGAACTACAACAGGCAAAAAATCAGCAACGTCAACACCAACTACAAGAACCACCCTACATAGTTGGCCGGGGTCCTAAAAACACATCCACATCAGCACATCTCCTACCTCATCCAAAAAAAAACACATACGTCGGGTACACAACCTGCATATTACAATCCTGATGCTGCCTCTCGATCTTCTCGGGCGAGGGGTACACATTCGGATGATCATCACAGAGCTGCAAGAACCGCTCGATCCTCCCACTCGAGTGCTCCGGGCCCTGGCCATCGTACCCATGCGGGAGGCTCATCACCAGGCCCGTGCGCTGGAGCCACTTCCGCTCCCCGGCCGCGACGAACTGGTCGATAATACACTGCGCGTTGTTCGCGAAATCCCCAAACTGGGCCTCCCAGACCGTGAGCGCGTCGGGCGAGACGAGCGAGTACCCGAGCTCGAACCCGAGGGTGCCGAATTCGGATAGGGAGGAGTTGCAGATGACGAAGCGCGCTTGGGAGGAGCCGAGGTCGTTGAGGGGGATGTACTGCTGCTCGTTGGCCTGGTCGTGGATGACGGCGTGGCGCTGGGAGAACGTGCCGCGCTCGACGTCCTGGCCCGACACCCTGATATGGATGCGGTCGAGGGCCAACGATCCAAACGCCAGGGCCTCGGCGGTCGACCAGTCGATGTTCGTGCCTTCCTCCACCGTCTTTCCCCTCGTGGCAAGAATACGCGCGAGGTTCCTATGCGGGTTGAACCCGGCAGGGTACGACGAGATGGCCTTGCCAATCCTCTTGAGTGTCTCCGCATCCGAGCCCGTCGGGCGGGTCGGCAACGTCTGCTCCGCGAGCTGCTTCGGCGACGGGAACCCCTGCCACGCCGCCGACAGCCACTCCTTGCTCGTGGGCACATAATCCTTGGCCGCCGCGGCCGCCTTCTCCATCATGCCCCACACCCACTTCTTATGCTCCTCAATGTCCTTCTCGGTGAACGTGCCCCTGCCGACGAGGAACTTGGTGTACTGTGTGAGCGGGGTCGGCTGCTTCTTGATGGCCTCGTACATGCGGGGCTGGGTGAAGCTCGGCTGGTCGGTCTCGTTGTGGCCGTAGCGGCGGTAGCAGACGATGTCGATGACGACGTCCTTCTTCCACTTGGCGCGGTAGTCGGCTGCGAGCTGGCAGACAAAGTTGACGGCCTCGACGTTGTCGCCGTTGACATGAAATATGGGGGAGTCGATGGACTTGGCAATGTCGGAGGGATACGGGGTTGAACGGGAGAAGCGCGGGTCGGTCGTGAAGCCGATCTGGTTGTTGACGATGAGGTGGATGGTGCCTCCTGTACCATAGCACGGGAGGTTGTGCAGGCCCATGGTCTCGTAGACGACACCCTGACCAGCAAAGGCGGCGTCTCCGTGAAGCAGGACACCCATGGCCACGTTATGGGTCGCCTCGTCATTTTCAAAATGCTGAATTGCGCGCGTCTTGCCCAACACGACGGGATCTTCAGCCTCGAGATGCGACGGGTTCGCAACCAACGAGAGCGAGACCTTCTTTCCAGACGGGGTCGGGTTTCCGGGTCTCCCAAATG